AAATCGAGCCGGATCTCTCTATTGAATACATTCAACAAATCATAAAATGCCTATGTATCGGGGTTTGGGACTTCGTCGATGTTACATGGATTAAATGATAGACCGATTGGGTCCATTACCATTATGTGATATGGATTGGTCGAAGGTTCAATAAATATTTGTTTAGGTTGAACAAAATTTATCAAGTTGTCACCATAAATGATCGACTCATTTTCTCCATGATGTATCCACACATAATACCCGGACATAACAACATGTCTCATCAAATGATACTTAAGCTGTTTCGGGATATTCATAACTACGACTCGATATTGTTTAAGTTTACAAGGACATTTTATCTTATTTTCGTCCATACACTTCGGATGACTAATGATAAAATTAATAAATTCATTAATCCCATCTAAGAAATGCTGATTTAAAAGACCATCGGTTAATCTATAGTCAATCCATGAACGATCCAAAGTCATTTTAAACTAAATTTAATTAATTTAATAAACAGACTAATTTAGTTAATTTAAAAAATAAAAAAACTTAATTAACAACCTAATTAATTAAACTAAAATGTAACTATTAATTTTTTAGTAAATTTAATTAACAACTAATTAACTTATTTAAAAAAAATAAAAAACTTAATTAACTACTAAATTAATTATACTAACATGTATTTGTTAATTTTAATCTAAATGTAATTAATTTAATTAACAACTAATTTACTAATTTTAAGAAATAAAAAACTTAATTAAGTACTAAATTAATTAAACTAACACGTAATTATTAATTTTATACTAAATTTAATTAACAACTAATAAACTTATTTTAACAAATAAAAAACTTAATTAACTACAAGATTAATTAAAGTAACATGTAATTGTAGATTTTAAACTAAATTTAATTATTTTAATAAAAAAACTAATTTAATTATTTTTAAAAAATTAATAAATTAATTAACTACAAATTAATTAAAATAACATGTAATTAAAGGTTTTAAACTAAAGTAAGCACTTAATTAACCACAAAATTAATTAAAATAAAACATAATTGAAGATTTTAAACTAGATTTAATTATTTTAACAAATTAAATACTTAATTAATTACTAAATTAATTAAACTAACACGTAATTGAAGATTTTAAACTAAATTTAATTAATAAATATTTTTTTATTTTGACAAATTAAATACATAATTAACAAATAAATTAATTAAACTAACACGTAAATGTTATTTTTAAATTAAATTTAATTAATTTAATCAATAACTAATTTATTTATTTTAATAGGTAAAAAAACTTAATTAACTACCAAATTATTTAAACTAACACGTAATTAAATTTTTTGAACAAAATATAGCTGATTTAACTAGCAACTAATTTACTTATTTTAAAAACTAAAAAATTTAATTAACTACCAAATTAATTAAACTAAAACAAACTCAATATTTTTAAATAATTTATTTAAAAATTAATTTAATTAATTTAACATATACATAACTTAATTAACACCCCTCTTTAATTAAAGTAACAAAAAATTAAATTTTAAAAAATAATTAAATATAATTAATATAATTGACTACTAAATCACTTAATTAATACATAAATAATTAAACTAACACCTATTAAATTTTGAAAACAATTAAAGTATTTAATTACCAACAAACAAACTTAATATAATTGACAACTTTAACAATACTAATTAACTCATTATTAAATAAACTAGCACTTAATTAAAATTTTAAACAACTAATTAATTTAATTAATAGCTAACAAATCAACTATAAAAACAAACTAAATTAAACTAACCGACAATTAACAAATAATTAATTAAACAACAAATATACTTAATTTAATCAAAAACTAACATATTAACTATAAAAACAAACTAAATTCATTATACTAACTACCAATTAACAAATAATTAATTAAAAAAAATAATTAAATAAACTAAAGCTTAATTTATTTTTTTTAACAAAAAATTATTTTAATTAATAACTAACAAATTAACTATAAAAACAAACTAAATTTAACTAACTAACAATTCATAAATAAATAATTAAAGCAACAAATATAAAATTATTGAAATAAATGGGAAAAAAGCTTAACTAGTTATCAATTACACAATGAAGGAGTAGAGAAGGAGGTAGGAGTTGCTGCCAACTCATGGTGAAGAGGTGGAGGAGCTATTACTGCTGTCATTCGCATGGTGATGAGAGATGAGGAGGGAAAGGAGAAGGAGGAGGGAAGGAGAGAAAGAAAAAGGAAAGGGAGAAGGAAAATGGAAGAGATGGAGGGGGATAAGAAAATAAGAGAAATTGGGAGATTTGGAGGGAGTTGTAGTCGAGATTGGAGGGGGAAAAGAAGTGGTGGAGTCGTAGTTGCTTGGATGAAGATGAAGAAGAGAAAGAAAGAAGAAATGGGGAAATTTTTTTGAGCAATAGCTTTTAGGGATTCAATTTTTTAGTGATGGTTTGGAACTCGTCACCAAAATCATCGTTAAAAAACTTAATTTATTCAAATTTATCCGTTTTTCCTCTAATAATTAGAGATTAGAGACGATTTTCGTAAAAAAACCGTTGCCAAATCCCTTTCTTCCATTGACTCGGCAACTTGTTGGATTTAGCGACGGTTGATTTGGCAATGGTTTTTAGTAACCGTCGCTAAATCCACTCATAATAAAGGGTTTTTAGCTATGGTTTTACATAAGTCATCACTAAAAATCATATATTTTTTGAAATTAACGATGGTTAAGGTAAACCCTCACTAATTTCAAAAACATTTACCTATTTAGCGATGGTTTGTTTCAAACCAATGCTAAAAATAATCATAATTGACCAAATTAGTGATAACTTACAAACCATTGCTAAATACCCAATTTTGAGAGGGGAATAACGACAGCTTTATGAAAACTATTGTCATTTCATGGTTTTAGCGAAGATTTTCCGTATTGTCACTAAAACCTATTTTTTCGGTATTGGAAGAACATGTAACACTACTAAATCTCATTAATGGAAGATTAAAAAACATTGAGCAATATCCATCTTCTCCATTTTTTAAGAAACAACCATTGGATTTTTATTTAAAAGGAGAAAAGCTCAATAAAGGAGGAAAACAAATAGTAGATGTAAGAATGCATAGATATAAATGCAAATATTAAATATATAAAAACAAAAAAAATCTAAAATAATGAATAAGAAAAAAGAAACAAACTTCAAGTACTAGCCATAATAAGGACATTTAAATCATATATAATTTTTAAGTTTCTTTGATAACATTCTTCAATTAAGTCACAAAAATTATCTTGGTTTGATACCGTAAAAAAAAAAAAAAAAAAAACACACACACACACACATATATATAATTCTTCAATTAACTCACCAAAATTATCATGGTTTGATATTGTAAACGTGTGTGTGTGCACGTGTGTATGTGTGTGTGTGTTTTTACAATATTAAACCCGAGATAATTTTGATGAGTTAATTGAAGAATGATATATATATATATTGTAAACGTGTGTGTGTACACGTGTGTATGTGTGTGTGTTTTTACAATATCAAACCCGGATAATTTTGATGAGTTAATTGAAGAATGATATATATATATATATATATATATATATATATATATATATATATATATGTTACATGGAATATGTTTATAGATGCATTGCAGGTATCCTAAATGATGTACTTTATTATTTTATCATTTTAAATATGTTTGAAAACTATTTGTTACTATCAAGAAGTATACCTAGCTAGGTTCAGGTACAAATATAGAAGGAAATTCAAGTGATTGTTCCGTATTAAATTAGAGTGATTATTGGCAAAAAGTTCCAATTCTTATGCTATAAGATGTGAAAAAAAGAAGAAGATAAATTATAATGAGTCCCTCTATTTTTGAGAAATAAATAAATAAATTATTTTTATTTTGAAAATTAATTATTTAATTCATTAACCAGTGTTGACTACATTTAAGTAATGTTATTTTATTTAAAAAAAAATGTTATCTTTTCTCACCCATCCTTCCATATTTTTTTTACTTATTTTTTATTTTTATATTTCTTAAAATAAAAAAATAAAATAAATTGAAAAATAATGAAAAATATCAAGTTACAAAAAAGTTTTAAAATTCAAGATTAAATAATTAATTTTTGAAATAAAAAGAATTCATTAATTAGTTTTTGAAAAACTAAAGAGACTCGTGTATAATTTAGTCAAAATTTTATTGCCAGCAACCAAAGTCATTTTATGATTGAAGCAATTTCTTGTTCTAGTATTCACAAGAAAAACAACATTAAAGGTCATTCATCATGCATGACTAGTGCAAAACAATTTTTCACACAAGTAAACCTATACTAATGATTATATATTTAGCAATTTTCTTTCATAAAATGGATTCAAGTTTTAATGATTTTAATTTATTTAGTCATTTTTTTAATAAAAAAACTATATCAATATGTAGCCCAGGCCCAATAAACTTCTCCCTGAAAAAAGGAGTACACTTAGTAAATAATAATAAGAAAATTAAAAAGAAATCTCAATTTAACAGCTAATGTATTATAAGATTATAAATTTTTGAGTCCTAAATATTTTGATTTTGTACATATAGATAGAATTGGTTAATTAAATCCCCAAACTTTACTAATTGTGACATATATTCTTGACATCCCTTTTGTCAGAACTTGGAATTGCTGTCTGGAGGTTTCAGTTTCGAATCATGGGCGGATGAGGCGGCGAAATGATGGAATTAGGGAGATCATTGGACTTCTTCTTATTGGATCATGGGAAGAACTAATTAGTCGCCATTCATTATTATTATTGTAGCTTCTGTAAAAAAAAAAGGGGGATAGTAACGACTACTATCAGTGTTTAATTTTAACTAAATTGTCGTTTTCAAACGGACAAACGGAGGATTCAAGGGATCAAAAACGTTAAAACGGATAAAAAATATTTTTTTTTTCAAAAATTCAAAAACCAGATTTGATAAAAAAAAATCAAGAGATTAGAGAAAAATGTCTGGTATAAGAAGGCCGTGGTCCGATAAGACGCCTCTACTGGGTACACTCAAAGAACAACAACGCACCTCCCCTGCTTCTTCTTCTCCTTTCTTCGTCGAAATGTCAAGCACCGCCACCGCCACCGCCACCGCAGCCCCTCGCCGGTCCATCTACCTTGGCGTAGACGTCGGCACCGGCAGCGCCCGCGCTGGTCGTTTCTACTTCCCTTTTCTCTCTCAATTTTCCATGTACACATAAATTGAAGGGTTGAATCCAATTGAATGTTGTTGCAGGCCTGTTTGATGAGAGCGGGAAACTTCTGGGTTCTGCTAGTAGCCCTATTCAAATATGGAAAGAAGGTGACTGTATTGAGGTGCTTACAAAAAAACCTTGAAAATTTTCTATTGCCATTTTTTTTCTCTCTTCTTATGTAATTGAGGGGAATTGTTGTGTTTATTTATTTATTTATTTTTGTTTTTTTTTGCCCAGCAATCTTCCACAGATATTTGGCATGCCATATGTGCCGCTGTGAAATCTGCGTGCTCCCTTGCAAATGTTTCAGGGGATGAAGTGACTGGGATGGGATTCGCCGCTACTTGTTCTCTTGGTTTGTAAATTTCTTGACAATTGTTACGTGGAGATACATTGTGTTTTAAAGTGGATTTTTGTTTAGATTGATGATGTTGGGTGTTGAAAATGTTACTGATTTATTTGACAAAGTGGTTTGATTTTGCAGTTGCTGTGGATGCTGACGGAAATCCCGTTACAGTTTCTTGGAGTGGTGATTCAAGACGGAATGTTATAGTATGGATGGATCATAGAGCTGTTAAACAAGCTGAAAAGATCAATTCTTCTAACTCACCAGTATTGCAATATTGTGGGGGAGCTCTTTTCCCTGAAATGGAGCCGCCAAAGGTAGCTGGGGGAATGCATTAGTTACTCTTATGTAGACCTCCCTTGCTCGATCCTAAAATATGCTCTTTGTACATTGTTGTGTTATGCACAACATGTACATTCATCAATTCTAAGTTTGAATAATTTCCAACTGCATTATTGTATAGTTTTGGGCTTAGAGAGCAAGTGGTTACCTTTTATCAAGAATATGATGTGGTAAAATTTGAACTGAATGGGTGCATTATTTTTAAATATGCTAGTCGATTATGTTTAGTGAATACTATATTTGCAGCTTTTGTGGGTGAAAGAAAATTTGCCAGAATCTTGGTCGATGGTGTTTAGATGGATGGACTTGAGTGACTGGCTGTCATACAGGTGATTTCCGTATCTTGCTGCCTTCATGTCTAGGCATATTCTCGTGGTCAAGTCAATTTTGCTGTTGCGAGCTTATGCTGATTTCTCTGTGTGCCTTTTTTTTCTTAAGAGCAACCGGAGATGATACTCGAAGTCTGTGCACAACAGTTTGCAAATGGACATATCTTGGCCATGCACACATGCAGGAGATGAACAAGAAAGATTCCCGCAATATGGAAACTTGCGGATGGGATGATGATTTTTGGGAAGAGATTGGCTTAGGTGATCTTGTTGATGGGCATCATGCTAAAATTGGTATGCTTCTAGGAGTTCTATGCATCCTTTTCTTCTTGTAATGAAATACATAGATCTGCTCTATGTTGTTTTGATGCTGAACTTTTGGAACCTCATTTTATTTTATGATATTTAAGGGATGAAGAACAGGACAATTGCTCTTCAGCTGATTTGATTGCTACTATTAGAAGATTTACATCTAAGCGTCCATGTCTGTTGTTATTAGGGTTTGGGATTTTCAACTTATTGGAAACTTTAGTACATATCTATTCATCTAAGTTTCTTGAGCAAACAAAACGAATTTATAATTAATCTTGATATTCATGATTTACACTGCTTTTTTTGTGGTGAACTACTGAAGTTTTTTGTTGTAATGTCTGAAAAAATACCAATCAACTTCAAGGTGATGAGTACAACTCGGTGACTTCTTATCATAAGTATAGAGTTGTTTTTTCTAGTACTTGTAGCTCCTGTTGACTGTGAGTGACTTGTAACTTAAACAGGACGCAGTGTAGCTTTCCCTGGTCATCCTTTGGGTTCTGGTTTAACTCCTACAGCTGCACAGGCAAGAAACTTTTGCATTGAAGAATCCTCATTGATTTTAATTGGCGCTCCCTTGAGGTCTTTTGATAAAGAAAATACAAATAAAAGATTTTAAGAACGTCTCTTTTATCAGAGCATTAATGTTTCTTTCTTTCTTCTGGGCTTTGGAGGCCAGAATTGTGTATTTTTGACTCCAAATTGAAGGCTGCTTTTCCATTATTCTAATTAGTGACCTACATTTTCAGGAACTGGGTCTTGTGGCTGGAACTCCCGTGGGGACTTCACTGATAGATGCTCATGCTGGTGGTGTGGGGATAATGGAAAGTGTCCCTGAGTTAGGTTCTGAAGCTAAAGGTATTGATGATGTTTAAAAATGCATGAAAACTCCTTGTTTATATCATGTCATATAATAAGGTAATACGTTTATTTTCTGAAAAAATAATTTGTTCAGAGAATGATAAAGAAGCTATATGTCATCGCATGGCATTAATCTGCGGTACTTCTACATGTCATATGGCTGTGTCCCGGAGCAAGCTGTTTATTCCTGGGGTCTGGGGACCATTTTGGTCAGGTAAAAATCCAAAAACATCGTGACAAGTGTTTCGTTTTCTGATGATTAGTTCAAGGTCTATGAATTAAAAGTTGATTTTGGATCGCTTAGTTCAAACTTATATAATACACCTAATGTTTTCTTGTTTATATTCTCTACATGTGTGCTTGTTCGTGTATTGAATTTCTTGTTTGACATCTATGGATTTTCTAACCTAATATTCATTTATTACTTAAAAGTTTTGTTTCTGAAATTTTAACTCCAAATATTTAAGTGATGTATTTTTGAGCCCTCTTTGATTTTCCAATTATCAAAGTGCATTTTTGCGGTATAGTTTGAGGAATGTGTTATATCCAGGTTCCAGTATCAGGAGTTGCACTTTTACTTTCTTTCACCATGAAGTGTGGCCATGAGCTTTAATTTCTGGTCCTTCTATTTTTCTATTTGTGTAGCGATGATACCTGAGTACTGGCTTACAGAAGGTGGACAGAGTGCTACTGGTGCATCATTGGATTATATAATTGAAAATCATGCTGCTTCTCCCCGTCTTGCAAATCGTGCTGCTTCTTTAAGTAAGAATATAGTTCATTTAGTTTGAAGCATGTACATCTTAAATTAATTGTGGCTGATGTTTTCTACGTTAGAATCTGGCTTGGTCCTCTACTACTCATTTTCTATCTTTCAGAAATATCCGTGTTCGAACTACTCAATAGTACAATCAAGACGATGATAGACGAACTGAAGTCTCCATTCCTTGCTGCTTTGACTGAACACATACATGTCCTTCCTGATTTTCATGGAAATAGGTAACTAAGTTGTGGTGATGTGGCCTTTTCTGGTCATAGTGCTGTGACATCTGCTATAAACTTATTATGTTTAGTTTGTGATGGAACAGGTCTCCCATTGCAGATCCAAAATCCAAAGGAATTATTTTTGGCCTGACACTAGACACGAGTGAGAAACATTTGGCTCTTTTATACCTGGCCACAGTACAGGGTATTGCATATGGTACACGTCACATTGTGGAGCATTGCAATGCTCATGGTCATAAAGTAAGAATGTCATGCTTTATGCACTAATTTGTAATAATTCCATTTCACAAATTCACTGTTGTTTATTATCCTTATTAGAAGATTAATGTATCTTAGGGATGGAAGTACACTGATTCGTATTGAACTTTCACTGCATCCCAAAATATTGTGCTTATGTTAGATATAAACTCAATTGAAGATGCACTTAGTAGTTGCTATCAAGCATTCTGCATATTCAAGCCTGGAGGTGGAGGTGACCGGCTGGTTGTCAAATAGGAGTTAAATCATCATTAGGAAAATACTAACATGACCATTTAGCACGCCCCTCACATCATGTCCCAAACCACAAAGTAGTAAATATGTGCTTATTATAGAATAAACGGTCCTGATTGACCTTGCTAGGCAGCATCGAAAATTACTTTGACTTGTATTTTAATTAATTTTTCTATGAGATGCAAGCATGCACTTCTTAACATTTAGCTAACAAACTATGCTACTCACGAATAAGTGCAAAGACAGGTGATGAAATCTGATATAGAGCAAAAGCAGATTTAACTTTAACCAAAAATGTTCAGATAAGCAATCAGTCAGTAGCTACTTAAATTAGAAGCTTAGTTTGCACATATTTGACCAATATCTATCATGAGATTTGTTCTGTTTGGCGAGTAAGGCTTGAGTGTTCTTAGTCATTGATGTTGTGACTATTTGTCCACAATGTTATTTCCATAACCCTCTTTGTGTTTTCTTATGCATCTCTTTTCTTTTCAGATTGATACTTTACTTGCATGTGGAGGTCTCTCGAAGAACTCCCTTTACATCCAAGAACATGCAGATATCCTTGGTACTTCACTACCATTTTTCCAAGATGCTTACCTCCTTTATTTCTGATCAGTGTATAACATGTTTCCATTTTTCTCCTTTAAAGTTTACTTTTTGGTTGTAATTCTTTTGGATGATAGATATCCTTAGCGTTAGAATTTTAAGAAGTGGCCAACTGTCTCATGCACTTAATAGATTCAGTCTTGCAAGTTAACAATTGATTGAGAGTTGGTGTTCTTGTAATTGGTTATTGTTTTCTTCTTATTATACCGTACTGCACTAATATATTTGCATCTAACTTTGTATACAATTTTTTACTATTTCTTTTCTCAATTTATTAGTGTTATGTGTGAAATAGCAAAAGGAAAGTAGAGATTATCTGTGAGACACTTCCAAGGTTCACGAGTTAGTGAATCACTACAAATGATATATTTTTAGTGTGAATGATTGGCTTTGCATGCTAATAGTTCTGCTAGTTTAGAAAGCTGAACTGTGTAATTCAAAAATTCGGGTTTGTAGTTTCAGTATTAAAGCATTGTGCTAACTTCAAAATAAACTTTCATGATATCAATCATCAATGTTGAATGCTAGGTAAAAGAAACCAGTTAACCTCTCTTTGTACTGTGATACTCTTCCTACTGTCATGACTTTCTTCATACACAAGACACTTATTGGTCTTCTAAACAATGGCATGTATGCATTGATGAAAGCAAAACTAACTAACTAATGTTTGGTGTAGGTTACCCTATTGTACTCCCACGAGAGAGCAAATCTGTACTCTTGGGTGCCGCTATTCTTGGTGCTGTTGCTTCAAAGAAATATCGAAGTCTTACTGAGGCCATGAAGGCACTGAATGCAGCTGGTCAGGTATGCATATATGGCAACTGTTGTGTTCTGTATTATTGTTTTAATTTGTAACCTTTTGATTTAATGTCTCGAGTATTTGTAGGTCATTCATCCATCAAAAGACCCAAAGGTGAAGAAGTATCATGATGCCAAATATCGTATTTTCCGTGAGCTCTACGAGCAGCAGCTCTCTCAACGTTCAATCATGGCTCAAGCTTTGGAGTAGAATGTGTCACTTTTGAAGACTAGTGAATGCTTTAGCATTTCGCTAAAAGTCTTGGCCTGGTAATCACAAGTGGATGCATTTGAATTTTAAGAGTCACTTGTTCAAAAATATAGTTGATTTTTTTTTTTTTTTCAAATTTATCTAGGAGTTCAACTTAAAATTTGCAAGGTCAGTTTTATTATGTATATAAATCAGTTTGAAACTGTTTCATTAATGTTGAGTTCGTCTAATGTGGATACTTTAATTATGCAAAATAGGCAAAAAATGTAAAAAGTTACTCGTTGGAAAAGCAAGAGATGATATTTGCATTCTTGCGCGCTTATGCTTTTATGAAGCAAGCAAGATTTTCGTTGAATTAAAAGATAGGATACATTTCAGGAAAAAGTGTCTATTATGTATTTCAGTAACTAAATTTTTTCTCTCATTTTGTCTTTAAAAAAAAAAAAAGAGGTGCCGATTGGAAAAATCAGAAAATAAAAAGAAGAGGATTAATAAGTTCAATCGAGGGATGTAATTGAAAGAAAACAAAAAGAAAAGGACTAAAATAAAACAAGTCTACAAGATGAGAGATCAAACTAAATTTTAGCCATCATACCCTAAAATACCCCTATAAGACAATCTCTTTCTCACCCCTCATACTCTCTCTCTTAGAAGATTCAAACTCGCCACCCTCATCAGAAAACAATCTGATCAGCTCAAACCACTTTAGGCTAGTCGCTGTTTGTTCGTTCACCAGCAAAGCTACAACGAGAAGCTTCGATTTCGACCAACGCTATTAAAGCCAAACCCCATTCACACACCAGCCTAATGCCTATTGCTCTCTATACAGCTCCATCGTTGTCGATCATTTGCAACCAGTCATTGTTAATCTGCAACAGATCCCAATGCTTAGCCACAATCGATCGTCTTTCCTACAATCGTTTGTCCACTCTAGTAAGCACATTGTCATTTAATTTCGTGCACACATTTGCCAGCTACCGTTTGCCGTTGTCCAAGTCGACTGTGCCACATCGTCGATCACAATAACCGACCAGTAGAGATCGTTACTGCTGTCCAAACAGGCCCATGCTAGTGGTGGATGCCACCCACGACAGCCAACCAACAGTCACTAATTTGGCTTTAAGTTAGTAGTGTTGTCCGATCCAGCCACGTCTTCTTTTTCGCCAACAATATAAAAAACTTTGACCACCATTGACAGTCACCAGTGGCCATGACGACGTGTCGTACCATCGGCAAATTTGATTATTTTTATTTTTCTCCTCACTAGATCTAATTACAAAGCGTAGTTAGGGCAAATCAGGGTCTATCCCACGGAGAGATGGTTCAATCAATTTTCTATTTATCTTCTGATTGTTTCAAAGTTAAGTAAAGGAAAGGGGTTTTGGTTTGTTAAGAGTAATAAGGATAAACTAAATTAAATTGAGAAATAACAACAATAATAAAGCTTTGGTCAAAGGTAGGCCTTCACTTTTGGTTCACTTGTTGACGTTGATTCATACATAAATACATCCTTATTATGAATATCCACCATAAGGCAGCACCATGTATGTTATCCTCAATCTTTCCTTAGTGATTTGTTAACCAACTAGGTGCTATTTGATTAATCTCTAACTATTTAATAACCTAGTAGCCCTAATTAGATTTAATCCACCAATAGTATTAATTGATAGAAAGATAAATAGAGTTGGTGACGTGTCGTACCGTTAATAAATTAGTAATTTATATTATCCTTACAGAGCTTTTAATCATAATGGTGTAATCCAAACAAATAAGGGTCGAACTCATAGGAAAAGTGGCTAAATCGATTGTTTCTTTTGGTGAAGTGTTCTTGTGGTATGAAAGGAGGTGTTTTGTGTTTAGAGTGCTTGAAAACAAATAAAGTAAAGTGAAATAACAATATTAAGAGAAACCTTAGTTGAACTTCGATATCTACTTTCGGTTTGGTCACCGATCATTGATTAAATAATTAACTTATCCTAAATATGAATATTCATCATAAGACAATAACATGTGTGTTGACCTCGGTATTTTCTTAGTTATTAACTAAATATACAATACCTAATTAATTTTCTAGCTATTGAACAACCTATTAAGTCTTAGATAGATTTAATCTAATAACAACATTAGATAGAGAGAGACATATGAAGCTAAGCCAACTTTCTAAGTGCTTAGAGAAGATGTAACCTAGTTCTATGTTTTCCAAGGAATTGAACAAAAACGTAAAAAATAATCACCAATCCCTAGTTACTATCACATGCAAGTTTAGACAAGTAATTACATGGACTTGAATACGTAACTAGCAATAAGTTAATATGATCAAACAATTAACATGCATTCTAATCAATTCAATCACATAACTATAACCCAATCATGTAGGAAAACATAAAATCACATTTAGAAATAAAACTCGTAATCTTACAACGATTCAACCAAAAGCTTCAACTTGATTTTACTAAGAATAGAGTTTAAATGCTCATAATGGGTTACAAAGAGAGAGTTTCTATGGATGGTGACTGCTAGAAAGTGAGAATCCCAAAATAATACCCTAACTTTACTATTTATACCTAAAAATAGGGTTACATCATATAGGTGTCAGCCCTACAAAGTCACACGGTTTAATACATAAAATTACACGATTTGTTGCTTGATATTACATGATTTAGAGCCTTGGAGAATAAGTGTTAAACAGTTTACTAAATAGGACATACGTACGTGTGTGTGCCCTTATTCTTCATCTCATGTTACATCTATTCTATCTATGTAGTTTCCTTCTTCAAGCCATGTTGAATCTCTTTTGCTCGTGTAGACTCGATTTACCTTAGAGACACGGACGTGTGACTTTGCACCGCAAACTATGTGCAATACCTTATGTTCGTGTGGTCTTCTTCTTCTTTGGACTTTTCTTGGCTAAAACATCCACACGATCGTATGGGATTTCTTCTTTGGTCGTGTAAAATGCTACTGCTCGTGTGGCTTATATTATTGAACAATCCACATGGCTTGTCCCTTTAAGTCACATAGATAGTAGCTTTTTCCTTTTTTATTTCACATGACCACCGTGACTCTTCTAAGTCTCTTTAAAGTTTATTTTCTTCTTTGTTTGGGTTTTGGGTTTCTTGTTTTGATTCAATGTTTTTTCTTACCAAACCCAAAATCATTATCTTATTCTTAAACAACATAATATAATATAATATTTACTAGAAACTTTAATATAATAGAGCATAAAAATCATGCTAATTATGCACTTATCAAATACCCCCACACGTAGACTTTGCTAGTCCTCGAGCAAAACAAATAAAATAAAACCTAACTCATTTTTATAGGAATCACGATTGCATTTAGCATATGTAATAAGCCTTTAAACCCCTAGGTTACCTTCGATGGAAGAGTTGTGTCTTATGAGGGTTTTCATATGATAAACCCACAAAATCATTCAAACAAATGTCATGCCGGTATGATTGTTCTTCAACATTGATGCTTAATTTAGAACTCAACAAAATTCAATAGTCAACTTGATAATGTTTAAGATATTATTATCATATTAATACATGTTTCTAAATTGGTTTTTTGAATCTTCATAACCAAACATAATTCAATCATGCAACATCGACTTACTTTTACCTCTTTTCCATTATTACAAGTAAGGTAATAAACCAAGATTTTCTTTAATCATCACTTTTTCATTTTAAACATCCTAAATTTTTGTTCTAAGGCCTTTATAACTTTTTTCCTAAGTGATCAATTGCTTTTTTACCCGATTATCAACATTTATGATGAAGGTAATCGATAACTTAACAAGTCATCAATCTAGAGTGCTTTACATACTCATAATTTGAATTACCGTTTGATGTAAAAGTAAACATTTGTGATGAATAATCCTAGTTATTAGGTCGTTTAAATCATTGGAGTAGAATTTTTAATTACTTAGGCCAAATTCCTAATGGAATGCTTTTCATATTTCTTTCTCAAATAAAAATTAGAAATCTCGTTTATTCAAATCGTGCTTAGGACTAGTTCCCGAAGGGGTTTGCTTTTATTTCAAAGTTAGTATTTCTACCTAAATTATGTTCCATCACGAAGACACATAAAGCTCTCTAGAATGCATGCACTTCTATAACAATAATATCCCAAACATCTTCATTCATCTTATCAAATTTTATTGAATTCAACATTACACATTAATCAAGAAAAACCACATACTAAATATGACATTTGTTTTTTTTTTTTTTTTGCATATAGGGGAATAACCTAAAAAACATACAATTTACATAAATAAACATAAAAAAATAAAAACCTAAATGTTAGATGCGCCCTACACTTGAATTGGACATTGTCCTCAATATTTAACAATCTTGATGAAAGGTAAACAAAATTAAAAAGTAAAGATTAAGAGAACAAATCTAGGATTTCAACGAGTGAAATGAGAGGTGGTATGAAGGAAGAGGGTGAAGCCTATGACATATGCTCGTGCCCAATCTAGAGCATAAATCATGTCTCAATGTTTACGCACGTGTCACCTTTCTTTCTCTCTTGCCATTACATAAGGTGAGTACTCACATAGTCATGTAGATTCCTCCCGTAAACCATATAGATACCCTACTCGCTTGTGTTGCCTCTTTTGTTATTGCATGAACTTCTTACCAAGTTTGCCATATGGGCATGTTTCTTTCTTCCACAACCGTGTAAGGTGCCGAGTGCTCGTGTGTGTCTTCTTTTCCTTTAACTTTTCAAAATTTATCGTGTAAGGTGCCACTACTCGTGTGTGTCTTCTTTTCCTTTAACTTTTCAAAATTTACTTATTTCTTTAAAACTCCAAATTAAGTCAAGCATGGGTTATTCAAAGAAAAGTTAAACAACTAAAATAAGCATCAACTAAAAGCAATGAAATTTACACAAATCATTGGGTTCCCTCCCAATAAGTGCTTTTGTTTAATGTCTTAAGCTTGACATTGGTATTTTCGGTCTTCATATAGATGATCCTCTAATATCATTACCTCTTC